GCGAAGTGGGAGATCATTGTTCTCTTGACTGCCTGTGGATTTTCATTCGGCTGCGACAAAGTTCTGACCGCGTCCCTCACTGCGGCTGATGGCGCAACGAAGACGTACTCTGGCGAGTGGTCGGAACTACGGTGGGATATCTACCTGACTCTGTGTCGAACCTTCGACGCGAACTTGGACGAGTGCCCTCTGACGGACGACTGCTGCGTCGAGGAGGACGAGGGGCAGCCTGAGCTGGGACCAATCAAGCAGAAGATACATATTCTCTTGAAGGAGCATACGTACCTGAAGACGAAGCTCGCCAACATCTACGAGACGAACCGTCCGTCTTGTGATTCTACCATGGATGGACGAGGTGAAGGAGAGCCATGTTTCCTATACGAGGGTGAACGCTGCAATACTATCAGCTCTGAGAGGCGACTCTTTCGAGACGGCGATGCTCCCGAATGTGCTCAAAGGGGTGGTGTTCGACAAGGCCGAGGACAACTTCTCGTCCGCCTTGCGATTCCTCACGCCTATCATTCATAAGGAAGTTCCGCCGTCCCTCTACGCTTACCAAGTACGCACTGGTGAAGTCTGGCGTCGTTGACGGATCGGAGCGTCAGTTCAACGTCACACCTAGCAGCGTGCTTGTCGACCTGAGCGCGGCTGCGCCCCTGGTCAAGTGGTCAGACGCCAACTGGAAGACCTTTAAAGAGGTGGAGGCGCTTGTGCAGCTGCAGCCGAGGTACTTGCTGTTGGGGATGACCAAGCTGTGTGATTATTTCGACACCGCTCTGACCATGGACGTCATCCCGGTGAAGTTCAAACAGCAGATGTCTGACCTCCGCGCTTTCATGAAGTCTGGGGTCGCAGTTGCAATGGGGTGTAAAGATGCAATATTCATGTACGCTTCTGACTGCAAATTAGATGGCCTTGACGAGGAGATGTGGACGACGTTGTTCGAAAAGGCTGTGGACCTTAAGTCTGATCCAGTGCGGAAGACCGACCAGCAGTGGGACACCTTGACGAAGACCAAAGAGGCGTCTGTTCGACAGATGACACCAATCCAACTCCGCAGAAAAAACTCGTGGACGACTTCAACGTGAAGACCGACGCGGCCAAACTGATGGCCAAGGATACCATGGTGTCGCTCATCGCAAAGAAGCTGGTCCACAATGCCAAGGCGGAGGAGGATTGTAGTCACTCCTCCTCCTGCTCCTCCTCCTCCTCCTCCTTCTTACTCGACCTCGCCTCCGCCAGTGAGGGCAAGTTGGTCAAGAATTGAGATGTCTCTGTCAAGACGTTCTTCTCGGTTGAGTTGGACGGAGGCGCGGGCAAGGATGGCGTCGATGATGCGGTGAGCAATGTCTTTAGCGAGGGCGGCATGCGGCGCGTGCCCTCGTTGACACTGCCGCGGGCATGGTGTGCATACAAGGTCGGCCTGGAGCTCGCAGATTACATCCTCGACTTATGGAACCCAAACTTCAAGCTCGACCAGGGTGGAGGCGATGAACCACCAGCAGATAGTCAGCACAGCTCGGATCCAAAGGGCTCCAGAGGCTCTAGGGGTTCTACTACGTCAACTTCTAGGCCAAGTACTATTCGAGATGTTGGCACCGAGGCGCTGAGACACGCTGCATCCAGGACAGGCAAGGCAAACTTCAAAAAGGCGTGGGTCCCGATCGATCTGAATGAGTGCTTGCCCGTGAAGGATGGGTGGTTTATCCGTTTGGCATTCGTTGGAGCTATCTCATTAGAGGGGACCTTAGTCGATCGCAACCTTCGCCAGTATGCAAACAAGGTGGAGATAGGCAAGGTGACAATCCAGGGCCACGCGTACATTATGTCGGCGACGCCTGGTGGAGGGGAAGGTTCTCCCACGTGCGCCCCAGCATGGCCCGTGAGGGGCATGGGTGAGGATGACTTTCACAAGGCCTCTGAGAACAACGAATGGATCGAGGCTATGGTGCAGAACTGCTTCGAGTTCGACGTCACTGTGGGCGGCGTTGTGAAGGTGACGTTCGCGCTGCCTTTCATCGGCGCGGCACCCGTGGAGTCTGCGCCGCAGCTTGCGATTGAGGACGCCCGCCAGCAGCCGCAGCCGCAGGAGACGAACCCTGCCGCATGCGGGGCCCTTCATCCTGCTCAGGCTTCTCAGGCTGCTCAGGCTCAGGCTGCTCCTGGGAGCGCTGCTGAGGCTGCTGCTGCTCCTCCTGCCCAGGATCCTGGGCCGCCCGCGGCAGCGGGGGGGGGCCCGGCGGTGGGGCCCAAGGAGTCGGAGTCCCCCAAGGAGGAGGCGGCGGCGAAGCAGATCGTGGCTGTGGAGCTGCCGGGGCCGCAGACCGAGCCCCAGAAGAAGAGCTTCGGATCGATGGAGTTCTTGGCGTTCGACGACATGATGGAGCTTGCGCGCCCGATGTTCCCGGATGAGGCAGCCAGGCACGCGGAGAAGGTTGACGGGAGGATCGCCAAGAAGGAGGAGCGGCGGGAGCGTGCCCGCGTGAGCGATGGCGTCGGCACCGTCGCCCAGCAGTCGGCATTGCTGTTCCACTTGATGCAATAGGCTGCTGGGCTCGATCTTCGGGGGCAGGCGCAGCTTGACTGAACGTCAACTTTTGGGACGACGACGACGACGACGATGACGACGACGAAGTCCGGAGCTGCACCTCCGTCCGTTGATCACTCACTCTCTCTCTCTCTCTCTCTCTCTCTCTCTCTCTCTCTCTCTCTCCATCCCTCTCTCTCTCCTTTCTCGCCTCCCACCTCCCTCCTCCTCCTCCCCAGCCCCCCCCCCCCCCCCCCCTCCTCCACCCGCCCTCCGCTGAGGGCCCTCCGCTCTGCCAGCCGCTCTGCGGTCTCGTTTGAATTCAGCGCGCCTGCGCCGTGCGCGCTACTCACTGGCGGGCCGCCAGTGCGAAGGGGCGGGGTTGAAGCCCCAGACGTTGAGCGCTGTGCGGTTGGGTGCGCTTGCGGGGTGCGAAAATACGATCGGTGGGTCGGTCGGTCCCGTCTTGACTCTTCCTACTCCTCCTCCTCCTCCCCATCCTCCTCCTCCTCCTCCTCCTCCTCCTCCTCCCTCCTTCACTCCTCGCTCCTTCTCCCGTCCTCCTCCTCCTCCTCCTCCTCTTCCTTTCTAAACCTCCTCCTCCTCCTGAGAAGGAGGAGGAGAGAACAGGTAGCGGGATGAGATGAGGAGGAGGGGAAGAGAGAACTAACGAGTAGGATGGCGACGAGGTAACCAGGGGGAAGCAAGACAAGGGTGAGGTAGAACGTAGCGGAGATTGACGATCCGTTCGTGCCTCCGCCCGACCCGTCGCGCGCCGCCGCCGCCGCCGCCGCCGCCGCCGCGGACTCGAGGCTCTCGTTTCTTTTTTTGGCTGGTCCTTTGTGGTTTTTGTTCGCCCCGGGGTGCCGCTGTGCCCTCGCCGAGCTTGTTGCTAGGGGTGCCCGGATCGGTTTGGGCGGCCCCTGGGGGCCGAGGAGGGCCTAGGACTTACTTGTCTGTTATATACATGGCTGGCGCCAGATACGCGGCCCAACCACGCGGGGAGATGCACATACCGATCACGATAAAACAATATGAACATCAGGCTGGCCGCGGTGGCCATAAAAAACGGCAGTGTCATCGTGCGCGGGTAACGGCGTATTCGGGGCGGGGGGGGGGAACATAAACCATCTGTCACGCAATGCGTGACTCATGTTGTAAAAAACGAAAATCCCGTCGTAGGCATTGGGTGTGTGATGTGATTTTTCGGAGCTTGAAAGATACGCCGCTCCACCGTGCGATTTTTTTGTTTTTTTTGGGGGGGGCTCTGGCCAGTTCCGCATGTTGTTTGGTTTTTCCTGCTTAGCTCTGGCCAGTTCCGCATTCGGAAAATCGAAAATCTCACGCGTTCGGCTGCCTCTTAGTGGTCGCAGATCTGCTATTATGTTTTTCTCCTTGTAGCCTCGCCCCGAACAAATGTGTGAAACATGCGTTTTTTTTTTGTTTATATATATATATATGTATATATATATATATACATATACATATATATATATATATAACAAAAAAACAACAACAAAAAAAAAAAAAAAAAAAAAACAACAAAAAAAACGCCACAACCAGGAATTGTACAAAACAATGTTTGTTTTAGGTTTTGGCGGTGATTGTCGCGACCCCTCTCGGGCGCTTCTAAGGACATCCCCAGCGCTTCACACACGATGAAGAAGAAACGTGTGCCCATCGTCGGTCACGTCGGTTGCTGTCATCATTCTTGTTCCGGCACTCGTTGAATCGGGGCGGGCTGTATATATACACATATGTATATATATATATATATAAATATTTACACACACACATATGTATATACATATATATATATACATTCATATATATATATATATATATATATATATATATATATATATCTATATAAATTTTTATATATATACATACACATATATATATATATATATATATATATATATATATTCATATATATACATACATACATACATACATACATACATACATACATACATACATATATATATATACATATATATATATATATATATATGTATTTCTCTCTCTCTCTCTCTCTCTCTCTCTTTCTCTCTCCGAAAAGGACTGGGACGATTTGGGCTTCTGACGGCCCTCCGGGGGAGGTTTTTTGAGGTTTTGTGGTGTTGTGGAGGCCATTTTGGCTGGTTTGGAAAGATTTTCCGGCGAGTCGGGGCCCTCTTGGGCCGTCGGGGAGGCCCACTCGGAGGCCTCAGGTGCTGTTTTGGCGCCCGGAACCCGGGGAAACCCAGACCCCCCTGGATGAGTTCGGTGGTGGGTCGTGCCGGGCCCGGGGGGGGCCTGGGGGGGGGATTCTCACGCGCGTTCCTCTCACATCCGGCCTCAGGCCTCCCGAGGACTAGCTCCCCGCATCGAAGACACGGTCTGGGGGTCCTGGGGTGGTCAGGTCCACCCCATGCCCGCGGACGCGCTGTTGCGTTGATGCATGGGCTTGTCAGACCCACATCGCAAGGAATGGAGAATACAACCTCCTCTTCCTCCTCCTTTTCCTGTCGGTTCTGCAGTGGGACCAGTTGCTGACCCTCGGGGGCTCCAAGGGCTCTGACGAGACCCTGCAGACGCGCCTGGGCGAGCAGCGCGGCGGCCATTGCATGTGCCTTGTCTACACCTCGGGGACGACCGGGTTTCCCAAGGCCGGAAGGAGGAGGGAGCCAGGAAGGGGAGGAGGAGAGGGCAGAACGAGGGAAGGGCAGCAGGGAGGAGGAGGAAAAGGGAGGACAAGCAGTGCGGCTTGCCCGCCCGCGTTTCCTGCCCCGCAAGCCCTGGACTCTTGCCCGCGCGTTCGTCGTCTTTTACTCGCAGTTAGTTTCCTCTTCCCATCTACCGCAGAGCAAAGACTGCCAGTATTGGCGGTGAGGCGCCCGCTCCAGCAATGGCCACGGCCGTGATGTGCCCTGATTCGACCAGCGCATCGCCGCAGTTTGCCAGATATTGAACATTTGAATTTAAATCGCGCGCGCTGGGTGTTTTCAATCACAAGACCACGCATAACCGAACGATGGGGGAACGCTGAGGCAGGAAGAAGAGGAGGAGGAGGACGACGACGACGACAGGGAGGAAAAGGCGGGAGAAAGAAAGCAGCGGGGAAGGAGGAGTGACAGGAAGGAAATATGCGGAGGAGGAGGAGGCGGAGGAGGAGGAGGAGGAGGAGGGGAACACGAGGGAGGGGAGTGGATCAGACGTGCGAGCACGCGGAGAAGTGGTGGAGGTGAATGAGGAGGGTTCGTGAGCAGGAGGGTGAAGATTATAAGGAGTACAGAGGAAGGAGGAAGACTGGTTGGAGAGGGGAACTGTTTCTTGCCGAGGCTGTGATGATCTGCCATGAGAACTACATGGCTCAGGGACGAACTGTTTTTCAGCAGCTGGGGTCAAAGATGGACCCAGTACACAATCGCATCATTTCCTTCCTGCCATTGTCGCACGTGGCTGCGTCTCTTTTCGACTGCATGGTGCCCGTTTATGGCAGAGTTGTGGCTGGCTTGAAACATACCGTCTACTTCACCAGGCCATACGATCTGAAGGAGATGACGCTGGCTCAGCGGATCGGATTTGTCGAGCCCACCGCGTTCTTCGCGGTTCCACGGGTTTACGAGAAGATCCAGGAGAGGATGATGGCGGTAGGGGCTTCCCTCACGGGCGTGAAGAAGACGCTGGCAACGTGGGCGAAGAGCAAAGGCCTCGAGTACTGCCGGAATCTTCAGGCGGTTTGATACCAAGAGAAGGAGAAGGGGGATGACGATGATCAGGCGATTACAAAGTGGGAGGAGTAGCAGGACGGGCCCAAGATGTGCCCACGAGGCGCCCGCGACGCGCCCATGAGGCGCCCCCGAGGCGCCCAAGGGCAGGCACCATGCAAAACCCCACTCAACCACCGCACGAGGCGCCCACGGGCGCCCACGGGTGGAAGCCAAGCAAAAACTCTGGTGACCCACCCAGCGCACGAGGCAGCCACGAGGCGCCCACGGGCGCCCGCGAGGCAAAACCTCGGCTGACCCATCCGATTTCCTCAGAAGCCAAAGCAAGACCCCTGGAGTACGAACACTGCCTGGGGGCATGAAATTGGCCTCGTCGGGGGCCGCTCTGAGGGCCTCTTGGGGGTCTCTTGGGCCTTCTTGAGCCAAGTCGGGGCCATCTTGCGACGTTCTCGGTCCCCATCGGTCACACCAGCGTGCAAGGCGGCCCAAGACGACCCCCAGACCAGCCACAGTGGTTCCCAACGGGGCCCAGAGATCTCCAAGACGGTCCTAAGTGGGACCCCCAAATCGCTACCGCTGCGCCGCTGGAAGCCAACCCTTTCAGCATGATCCCAAGCCACCCCAGGGGCCTCCAACATGTCCCCAGCCTGTTGCAACACGCCCCCAATAGGCACGCACCAAGATGCAGAGCAGGATGGGCGCCACTGCCCCTTGCCTCCGTCACCCTTCGGCCTTGGCGCCCAAGCTGACCTCTTCTCAGGGTCGGCTGAACTGGCCGTGTGTCCAAACGTATGTAACAGAAGCACGACTTTGCCGTTGCGAGTGTTCCTTGAACTTCTGTTATGTCGCCCGAGTGCATACAATACCCGCAAGCAAGATTTTCCCGCGAGAGCGGCTCAGAAAGCGTTGGTAGATTACCCCCTGGCAGCCTATCGAGACCCGTCTTGCCTGGTCTGGTCGGGATCCCGCCCTCTGATGCATTCTAGTTATCTAGTTGTAGTTCAGGAAATGGTGAGCCCCGTGCTTCCAGCATCGGATGCCCGTACGTCCTGGGCGGGATGTAACTCCCGCAATGTATTGTGTGTTGGCGCTGTATTGTGGCCATCTTGAGAGCATGCCCAGGTCATGTTGCGTTCATCGGGTCGTGCTTTGGTGTTGGTTCGGCTACGTTTGGGCCGTCCGGGGGTCTTTGTTGTGTGCGACGTCCGCTCATGTCCCCATTATATCGTTACATTTCGCTACTGTATCGGCTCAGGTATTGCCATACAAAGACACAGAGCGCTGGTTTCCGCGCGGCGCCCATGAAAAGGAGTAGCTGACCTCTTCCTTCCTTTGCCTCTTACCTACGGACACCCGTATAGGATCGACCCCTCGGTCGTCTCCCAATACACAGGTTACTCGCCTCTTCTTTTACGCTCTTCGCTGTTGCGACTCGCGTCACCGTTGACCCCGCCGCATGGCGCTGCCCCCCGCGGGGCGCGGTGCCTCTGTGCGTGCGGCGTCCTCGACGACGCGCGGTCGCGAAGGCACATGTGGAGAGGGCGAGAGAATGTGTGATACCCGCTTCCCCCCTGTCAGGAGAAGGTAGCACCGGTGCGCCAGCGGATGCATTGGGAGAACTACGCGATTCCCCGCTGCCGCCGCCGCCCGCGCGCGCCCACGTGCCGAGGGCCTCGGGGCCGCGGCTGGATTTGCCGCCCGCGGCGCCTGATACGTCCGTATCATGTGCGCAGGTGGGGGCACCTGCAGCTGTCTTCGGAGCCGCGGCAGGGTTCGCTACACCTACCTTCTCCCCTTCCAAACTTCGCTGATACAAATGGCGTCGTTGGAAACACCCGCAGCGGCGGCGCTGCAGGTTTGTCTCCAGACAATGCTTCCGCGCGCAACCGCCGCTGGGCTACGTTCACATCACCCACGAACGTGTCTGAATCCGAACATGCGCGTGTCATAGAGAATTGTACTCGACGGACATCTCAGCGCAAGGTTCCAGAACGGTATCACATTCGCTATCCTACTTGGGGCGCCAGCCGTGGCCCCTCCCAGAGATGCTCCCGGCATGACTCCCGACCGCGATATATAGTCCGCCAGTGACATGGCGGAGCTTCGAGGCCCAGTTGGAACTTGCACGACGAGACAGTTGTCGGGCCCGGCTGCGCAGACGGCCGCCCTCGGACAGAAGCTTCAACAAGCTCTTGCTTTGGTCGACGCTCGAATCGCTGAACATCGACCGACCATCACTCAGGTCCATTGCCAAGTTGACCAGCTGGAGTCACGCCGAGGTTGCGACTTCAGCGCGAACCAGATGCTCCACGACTACCTCCTGCGGGCGGAGGCCCAGCCTGTGAGCGCCCGAGTCAGCGGGACTGCCGCTATCAGGACTTTACACGATGAGCTCCTGATGGCCCGACAGACACCACCTGTGGAGGTGCATGGGCGCACGGATCAACAGCTGCGCGAGGACCTCAACGCACTTCGTACCCAGGTCGAATGACCACTGCCACGCTACTCCCAACGTGCCACGCCCACGTCTGAGTTGATCGACGAGCTGCGTGGCGCCAAGATGGCCCTCGCTCAACGTCTTGGCGCTTCCGAGGGGCGCGTGCCAACGCTTGGGCGCCGAATCTCCACGGTCGAGCAGCAGTTGCCTGAAATGAGGACTGCACTAACTGTGATGCGTGTTGTGCAGATCCAGACTGGCCAGCTGGGCACCCCGACTTTGGTTTGCGATTTCGCCCCCCTCGATGCCCGAATGCTCGAGGCGCGGGCAGCGGCGCGCCGCGCGCAGTTCCGATTCGCCCAGATCCCCAGTGAAAGAGGCGCCGGAACGGCGCGGGCACAGGAAGCACTCGCCCGTTTGGAACGAGAGCCCGACGCACGCTACCGACGAATCCAGGGTTTTAGAGCAACGGCGGGACAGGTACTCCCAGCGCGCCCACGACGCAAACGATGATATACGTGGCATTCAACAGAGTTGTCGCAACATGCAGCATGACATCACGACAACCGAAGCTTCGCTGCCAGCCCGCGTGCGCAATATTCAAATCCACTATGCAAGCCCACCTCCTGGCCGTCGACAGGGCCGAGTCTTTCCGCGTCCCGATGGTGGCATCCGCGCGGGCCCTGCGCGACGCGCGTCGCCAGGTGCCGCCTCCGCAGCGGCTTCTACACAGACGCGCCACGTTTCCCCTGCGCGACCACCTCGCCTACCCAACCAGTTCCATCTCAGACATTATCGCACATCTCACTTACCAATGCAATTCCACGCGAGGAATCAGACACCGCGCGCATGCCACAATTGCCGCGCATTGCACAACTACAAGAGTGGCAACGTATGTTTCGTAACAATTTTGGTAGCGCATCCGGGCGCCCTGCCAAAGTTTTGCATTCCGATGCGCCGCAGAACAACCCGCCGCGACCTACGAGGACCTCCAGGTCAGCAGCGACTTCGAGCGCATCGACTGCAAACTCGCAGCTGGACTGACTGCAGTCCTCAACTCCGAGCTCCGGTACCGCCTCAAGAACCTCGCGGGTCAGGAGCGCGCAGCTGGCCGCATGCTGAAGGGTAACGAATTTACTGGACGATACTACAATCCTACAAGGTGGCTGCAGTCGACGACGCACTGCATGACTTTGAATGTCTACAACTGATGCGCATGCGGGGCGACGACCTCCAACTGTTTTTTTTGTGGATTGAGACAATTGTTTGTTGGCGTGCCGCGACGCGCGCGTGCTCGAGTCGTTATTCCGAGCTCAGATGCGCCGACATTAACTAGCGAAGCAGGCTATGGAAGGCTACAACAAGATGGAGCGCGACGACCATGATAAAACGCGCGGGTGGCTTCGAAAACGCATTCTCGCGACTCTGCGATTTGTGCAGCGTCTAAGTCTGGGCGGCGCAAGAATGGTGAACGGTGCAACATGCCGCGCGCTGGGCCAGGCAGCCGCCCCGCGCCGCGACCTCCACGGCGATCGGCAGACCGCGGCAGGGGCGCCCGCGACCGCGGCGGCGGCGACGGTCGCGACCACGACGGACGGCGACGACCACGACGACAACCGCAAACGCGACGACGGCAGCGACGACAACAACCGCGGCCACGGCGACGACGAAGACGGCAACAACGCCGATCCTGACCGCGACCACGCCCACGACGACGGCGATGATGGCGACCATGGCGGCGATGCCAACAAGGGCCATAACGACCGCGACCGCAACCAGGACGACGACCGCGACCGCTACCCCGCCGACGACTGCGAAGACGAAGACGGTCACGACCACGACCACGACGACGGCCACGACCACAACCACGAGCAAGTTGACGGCCACGACGACGACGACGCCCACGACGGCTGCGACGACGACGACGACCGAAACCGCAACCACGACGACCACCGCGACCCCGACGACGACGACGATCAAGATCAAGACAACGACGACCACTGCCACGACAACGACCACGGCGACGCCCATGGCCACGACCACGACCACGACGACAACAACGACCACGCCCACGACGAAACCGATCGCGATCACGAAGGCTACGGCCACGACGACATCCACGACGACGGCCTCGACCACGACGACGACGACGCCGACGACGACCACTGCCGTGGCGACGACCGCGGCAACGGCCGCGACGGCGACCACGACCGCGACGGCGACGACCATCGCGGCCATTGTGACCACAACGACCACAACGACCAACGCCACAGCCAAAACGACGACGCCAACGCCCACGGCCCTCCCATCAGGGTTTTCGGTAAAATTCCTACGAATCGCGTAAGGTTGCGCCGAGTTGGGCGCGGCGGCGCCATGCGGACCCTTTCATTGAGGCGTTCGGATGAGCTCCATATGGCGCCACCAACACTGAGGGGTGCGCCAACATGTGCGCAGTGATGATGATGATGATGCTGATGATGATCACCATCATCACCATCATCATGTTGATGCTGGCGCTGGCGGCTGTCCTGGCGATGATTGGCGCGAGCTTTTCACTTGATGCTTAGTTTCAATGGCGCCCGCGGCAATGTTTGTAGGCAAAGCATGTTTTCAAAATCATGTAACAAACGTCTGGTCCGCCCCCGGCGCGCAGCCCTCACGCAGCTCGCGCCCACATCAGCCTAAAGGGAACGGTAGCGCAGGGCCTTATGTGTGAGAGGGTCCGCAGGGGCGCTGCCGCGCTCAGATCGGCGCTCTCCGTCGCGCGATTCTCGGGCCGATGCGGGCACCCTGGGGCGACCCGAATGGGCGCATGCCGGCGCAGAAGAATGAATTTGAGCGAAAAACAAAACAAGCAGGGGAA